GTGCATGTTGGGTGTACACAAAGTGGCTCTCACAAATTAGTCGGAGCCAGTTAGTGTAATCAGTACACACACCGATGCGGTGTTGCACACAATTGCACCAACTCTACACAGGTGGCACACCGGTGCAGACCAGCCGAAATCGCTATTAGAATCGGCTACTCGGCCGCTGTCGTCTGCTACGCTGTCCAGAAGGTAGTGCCATCTAGTCGGACGACAAGGATAGATCAACATATTGTTTACATGGCATGCTTTCACGGCGTACTGACACGTGATGTTTGCTGGGTGGATATTATTAAATTCGATTTTTCTACAGTCGATAAATTGGCACAAGAGATTTATCCTACAGCATAAAAATAAAATGTCGTAAAAATATCTAATAGCGATTTCGGCTGGTCTGCACCGGTGTGCCACCTGTGTAGAGTTGGTGCAATTGTGTGCAACACCGCATCGGTGTGTGTACTGATTACACTAACTGGCTCCGACTAATTTGTGAGAGCCACTTTGTGTACACCCAATATGCACCTATGCGGTGTACTGAGCTCAGACGAATACGCGGATCCAGCAAAGAACTGCTGCCATTTGACCAGCCGAACACACAATTTGCACCGACACCCGAAATGTACAATCGGTGCAAATCAGCCGAAATCGCTATAAAAGACGTTTATATTATTTTAGCCATCTTTTAGACATCTTTCGGATTTTACCATTGTAAAATCAAAGCGAAAACTAATGTGTTAGAAACTGATAAAGTAATTAAAATATATGCGTCACTATGAACCATTCATAACAGCCGGAGCCATCTTTTGGAAACGGACCGAATTAATTTGTACTCCAATACTTTATAAGGATTTTAAATACATCCTTTAATTGAAGATTGCGTAGCGTAGGGGTATCGTACTTGGTTAATAGTGACCACTGGATTATCGCGTAATAAAAAATGTCACCAACTGCCCTTGTCTCTAACTGCCCCACTCTCTCCTACTTGTTTGTTGTCACGCAAATTAGTAAAAGTAAATCTTGATCACACAGAATGGTTTTTGGACTCAGATTGAAAAAAAAAAAAAAAAATGTGTACAGCTGGTGATTGTATATCCGGAAGGGCTCACTTTGGTCATAAAATTTAGATTTTTTGTTGTCTGATCTAGTTGCTATAGATCTAGTTGCTAGATCTGTTTTAAACGAATTCACTTTCGCTCTCACGTTATTCTTATTCTTACTCAAATTAGCCGCTGGAAAACACAATAACGTATTAATAACTCATTATAAGTCATTATAATCTTTTTGCACGCAAGTGTGCGCGCGTGAATTTAAAGTTTTTTTTTTTTTTTTTTACTATTTAATTTCGATTTTACGATAAGCGACTGTATTTTTAATGTAAACATTGACAGCATTAAATAGTATATATTTAAGAATGTTTTATTTAGATTTAATTAAATAAACAGATTTTTACAAAAAATTCATTTGTATTATATTTGTATCTACTTATAACAATGCGTTGATTCTAAAAATTGTTGATTCTAAAAATTTTCTAAAAATTATAAATCAATTAATAGATCGTAATCTCGTAAATATGTACAGAACTGCTTTTAAGATTCTTCTCTCTTGCATAATTAGCATGTGTAAAATAAAAGATGATGATTATTCCTCTCAATTGATAATCCATATCTAATGCACAGCGAACTTTGAAAACATTTTACATAATAACTGATTAATTAATTTTTGTAATTTTTTTCTTTATATAAAGTAATGATAAAACAAATCTTACAGATAGAATCTTCTGTTTGATATTTTTTTGTGACGTTTTGCAAACATATTTCAGAAGTGGACTTTGCGATAAAGAAATAAACATGGTTTCATAAATTTTATCTAAACACATTTTAAAACACTCAAAGATCAATAAGAGTCAATTGTGATACATCAATGTCAATTAACTCTTATTGACTTTTGATCGAAAGATTCTTCTGCTTAAATCACGCAGGCAATTTTTTTATATTTTACTATCTTTTGTACTCATACAATCTTGATTTTTCCTTAAACATTAAAAATCTATTCAAAATTGAACAAAAGAAAGATAGTTTAAAAAATATTTAAAATTCGAAAACTCATTTGTTCTTTTATTCTCATCCTGCAATAGCGCGGCGAATACTCGCACATATTAAACGAGCTTGAACGTGTTTATATGAAGATATATACATATATACATATATGTGTACACACACACACACGCGCGCGCGCGAACCTTTACAAGCAAGATACATTTCTGCCGATTCGGCGATCATTCGCTGAAGTGAAGGTGCGAGCGAAGCAACGCATTCCATTCAGTGTACCGACAACCGCTGTGCCGGTGAGACGTTGTCAATTTATTTAAGGTGTGTCTTGTACAACGCGTGTGCATATGTGCGCGAAGATGTGAGATTTGCGTGCGCGTATAATAATTCTGAATATTTTCCAACGTATATGATTTTTGAAATTGTTTATATGTACGTTTTCGCGTTAATGCATCTAGTATTTATCACTTGAAAAAAGTAGATAAAGAGTATATTTTAATAATCAACATTTTGAATCATATATTATTATTTCAAGTTGCAATCAAAATGCACTACATACAAAACAAAGTCGCAATCTCGAGTATGTATGTGCATCATTTCTCAAAAAATAAAATCATTCCTGTAATTGTTTTCTTTCTTATTTGACTTCGAATATACAGGGTGTCCCAGAATTGGTGCAACATCTCTTGTTGACAGATAAAAGAAGTAAAACTGAGTCGATAAGTCCTATACCATTTTGCTAGATTCGCAATAGTTACCGAGATCTTAATTAACAAAGATCCGCGAATAAGCGTGCATCGGGCTGTCTTACGCGCGTATAAGATCTCGGTTTTTTAATTTAATTCGGAAAAACTTCACTTTTAGAGATTAACAGTTAAAAATAGAAAACTTACTTAAATATAAAACTTTTATGAAACAAAATACGAAATTTTTAAGAAAATAGAAAACATACTTAAATATGACGATAAAGTTCACTTTCCGTATCTCGATTCTAACGATTTCTATTAGTTCAGACTCTGCGTTCGATTATTTTAATTCGATCGTGCAGTTACATCGTTTTGCGGTCAGTTGAAATTGTAGTTTGAAAATTGAAAGTGCATTTTGTCGGCTACTATACAGGGTGTTCTGTAATTGCCGTCTCACCTGCCGCTTGTAGGCAGATAGAAGTGGTTATTCTAAGATAAAAAGCCCTATACCACTTTGGAAGATTTGCAATAGTTACCGAGATCTTATTAACAAAGATCCGTGAATAAGCGTGCATCGAGCTGTCTTACGCGCGTAGGACAGTCCAGCGCGCTTCGCACGATCACATTTTAATGTGTATATGTTATAGTATATGCTGTTATACATGTGTATATCACACATGGTATTATATTAGCTCCTCCCATTCCGTTGCTACGGCATGCGCGCGCAAAAGATTGACGTTGTCCTTACGCTGGATGCACGCTGATTCACGGATCTTTATTAATTAATATCTTGTTAATTATTGCGAATCTTCCAAAGTGGTATAGGACTTTTCGTCTTAGAATAACCTCTTCTACCTACAAACGGCAATTACGGGACACCTTGTATATGTTCGATATAAATGATTAATATTAAAATTTGTCATTTTTCTGACAGAGGTTTTCATCGACCGGAACTCATTAGGATAATTTAATTTTGTGTTTAGTCTTTATATTTGAATTTACAACTTTTTAATCACTGAATTGTGTGCGTAAAAGTTACTAGTAAACATATATCCTGATAAACATATATTCTTAGATTTAAGAGATATTACAGAGATACTAATAAACAAAGGAGGATATATTCTTAGAGAAGGATATTCAAAAGATGTATTTAATAAGAATATAAGAGATTGTTAAAAGCTATTAAAAGAGCTTTTATAACATGTTTTTTGGTATGAATGTCAGATGTCGGATTGCAACACTGAAAAAAAAACTTGTTTGTCATGTAGTTTTTGACTTTTATTTTAATGAAGAAACGGCAACTATCCACTCTTCTAACAGTCGTCAGTTAACGTGACGACAGTGAGAAAGAGCAAATTCTCACACAGGTCCACCTAATTTACATCTATATAACAAGTCGCGCTCGTAAAAATAAATGGTCCGCTTTCTTTGCCTGGTCAATAGAACTGGATTCTATGCATACATACTGGATGAAAGTTGTTGCACACAACATTGTAACGTCTTGATTCAATGTCGAGGAAGTTGTATAAGGCACACGCGAGTCATTGCCAGACACGTAAACATGTATACTACGTTTTATAATACATGCACACACAGGGAGATTTTTTTTTCGCGCCTAATATACTGATCAAATTACTTTCAGTAGCGGTTACCTTAGTTTGAAAATTATAAGCTGAGGATGATTAAAAATAAATGATCAAAAAATGTCCAATTAAAGAAAAATTATGTGAATTATTTATAATCACCTCCTTTCGTGGATACTACAGGCTGTAAGATCTTTTATATATTTTAGTTATTTTGAAACCTGTTTATTATCTTATAAATTACCTTCTATTAATGTATGCACATTTAACGAAGATAAAAGCAGGAGTGATTCGTTTTTTTATCGGCTATTAGTCGGAATCGCACAAGGTCATTCGTATTGTTATGTAAAAATGAATAAATCAGAATTATGTAGCGATAGAAAAAACAGCCGATGTTTTTGTATCATATCTCTTGACTTTTCACCTTCTTGACCTTCAAGAAAGATATTATTTCTTTTTTTATATGACATGATATTTTTTCATCTTGTAACGTATTTAAATAAAAATAAAATCTAATCGCTGCTTTGCTATACGTGATTACGTAATAAATTATCTGAAGAACATTTTCTTTATTTATGTTTATATAAATTTTTCTGACAAAGATATATATGTACTACCGGCTTGACATAGCTAATCTTCGTCGATTCACCGACAGTCCAAAAAATGGCAGGCTGAGCGATCGTTCGAGTCACAGCTGTGTAGAAAGCTCGACTGACAAGAAGACATAATCCGAACCGATTTTAAAACCACGCACAACAGTAAACGTGCCGCCAGAAATTCTCGTGTACAAGGTGCCACTATGACATACTTACGCACGATTGGGGAAGTAATTGGTTTCTTGGTGTTGTGTTTCATCATGATAGCAGAAGCCACTGTCAAATGGCTTATCCCCAGGAGATACAGAATGAAGAGCATAGATGGCGAGATCGCCCTTGTAACAGGGGGTGGCGGCGGACTGGGCAGACTTCTCTCTCTCAGGTTGGCCAACCTGGGTGCTATCGTCGTCGTATGGGATATAAACGAGGCCGGTAAGTCAAATAACGGATTTTTAAACAGGAACATTCCAGGATAGTTGTTATTTTCATACAAAATATAAATAAATAGAAAAAGAACTCGGCGATTGTAAATTTTTTTTAACGTGGTGGAAATGTTTTTTTGCATACCCTGACCCGGGGGAGGAGCGACCGCGATTATGCGAAAAGCGGTTGTGATTTTAACTTAACCTAACCTAATTTTACCGAGGACAATGGATTTCGGAGGTATTGAACGCAATACCAAAAAGGTTTTTATTTTGCCCGTGCCAAATCGAAGTACAGAAACTCTTTTGCCAATAATATCGAAAATATGTCAAAATTAGTTAAAAGGCCGATACGAGCAGTAAAATACAAGGTGGTCGTGTATAAGTAGAAGTCTTTATTCAAAGAAAAAAAACACAAACGTTTCAGTCCACAAGTTTGGACCTTCTTCAGTGTAATAAAGATTACATCTAATGTGAAAAATAAAATAAAAAATTAGCGCAAAGAATACATTGTGATAGAATCGAAAAATAACAAAATAATAAAACTCACTAANTAAAAATATATAATAGCTCACAACATCACACTATCAGACAAAACGAATGATGAGAAAATATGTCATACCTGGTTCTATCATTTATACCGACAAATGGCGTGCCTACGATATTTTGCGTGACGAAAATTATACGTACTTTTCAGTTAATCATGCGCAAAATTTTGTAGATCCTGAAACTGGCGTTCATACGCAAAACATTGAAAGATTATGGAGAGATATGCGAGCAAATATTTTGCGATACGGCACGCGAGATTACCATTATATCCACTATCTCGCAGAATTTGTGTTTAAAAGAACATGTAATTATAATGAACGAATTAATGCTTCTTTTGAAATTATGAGTTCTATGTATCCACTAAATAATGTAAATACTGATTAATAAATACAATATATCCTACAATATAAACATGTTAAGTCATAAAATTGTCGTCGTAACTACTTTTTTTAATGACAAATAATCAACACACACTTGAGAGTTTTGCATGCAAAAACCATGAAAGGGGTGAACATGTGAGGGGGTAAGAGGCTTCGTTCCTTACCCTGCACGTCCATTCCGTAATACTGTTATCCAACTTCAATCTAATTTCTAAAAGACAGAACTTTTCTTTTTCTCAAAAAAAGAAATGAGCATTGTCTTGATTTTGGATTTCACCGCGCGGATTTTCACCGCCCTTCACCATGACTCCGCCATTCTATGGTTTGACGCAATATTTCAAGTGTTTCCGAAGCGGATTTCTTCAATTTAAAACGAAATTTAATTGCAACACGTTGCTCCATCGTAAAAATCGTGACACGCGTAATCGAACACACACACTTCCGACATTTCGCACTCGCTACTGAATCGAGATAGCGCTGTGAAATTTTTACAGTAGCTAAAGGAAGAGTGAAAAAAAAAGTCCCGCAATGGAAACACAGATACAACGTCAGTCCCGGAACTTTTTGAATGCTTTGTGTACAGTATACGTGTTGTGTATGTACTTGGCGTCTTTTTTTACCTTTTTTTGAAAAGGTAAATTTTTCGAGATATCATACATTTTCTATTTTGTAAGACAGGTTTTATAGAAAAAGAAGTTTTAGTAGTAAAACAAACAAAAGTTTACTTGGTGTTACTTTTTGATATTACTTCTTTTGTAAAACAGATTTTTAAAAGAAATAATTGTACCTATATAATAATTATACCTATGAATTCTCATGCGTTCTTGTTTATTACATCGAAGTTCTATATATAAATAATTGACGTACTTGTAATATTTTCTTTGTAAATCCTCTATGTATAAAAATATCCATATTTAAATTTATTTAGGCAGTATACGTAAACAGTATACGTAACCTTGATACAACTTTTTAATGAAAAGCGAACGACGGCTAAAACCTTCTTGTTACTCAGGGACATGTCCTTCAAGATCAAAGTCATCGGGCTGGGTCCGGTTTTGTAAACATTTATTTAAGTTGTGCAAAAAAATGTTCGTAAAACAGGTCGGTTCAGCATCTTCTTAACGTATGTTTCAATTTGTTGTTGATACATTTGTATCACAATGAAACACTTTTTTTTAAATTCTTTGGTGCTATAGTCAACGGTCGAGCGCTAATTTTAGTCGACAACGCCGAATGTAACTGTAGGTATGTGGCTAAAGACTGTCAGTGACATTGCGCGGCGCACGTGCGTCGTACCGTGTGTAAATTAATCTACAAATACAAATTTCTTCCTCACCTGTTTTTTGTTTATTATATCAGTTTTATTTTAGTTTGTTTTGTTTTATTATTATTTTTGCCGTATCTATTAATATTAATTTTAAAACACATGCGCAGTTATACCTGTTGATTTAATTTTATTAACTTGAACAAATTAATGTGCTTATTGTTTTTGTCGCTATTTGCATTTACACTTATACAGGGTGTCTGAAAAATGTTGATACATCCGAAGTGTGAAGATACATTGAATCAATCTGAACAAAAAAGTTTTGTATCATGTTGCAAAATTCGCAATAGGTATTGAGTGATTAATTAATACATGTAACCCAATAAGCGCATAAGAAGCAATAGTTCGGACTTAGTAGGCGTGTATGATTTTCAGTTGTAAAGAAAAATAGCTTACTTCATGTAATTTCCTAGAAGATGAAGAAAGCAAGAGGCGGAACAAACAAGCAAGTGGCGAGTAACACAGCTTCTTGCAATCAGCTGATTCTCACAACTAAAACTTACACACGCCTACAGAGTTCAAACCATCACTTCCCACGCTCTCATTAGATTACATGTATTAATTAATCACTCAATAACTATTGTAAATTTTGTAAAATGGTACATAACATTTCGATTCAGATTACTTTAATCCACCTTCACACTTCGGTTGTGTCAAAATTTTTTAGACATTCTGTATATCTATAAATCAAAAAAACAACATGATATTTTGAGAAAAATCAATCAAAGTAAAAGTCCCATATTAGAACGTAATTGCATTAACATTTTTTTGACACGTAACGAGGATCCTCAGGCAAAAAAGAGTTATAAAGGATGGAACTACTATTTAGAAATAGTTATTACTACGTAATACACACGCGATTCATATGTACAATTTGTTTGATAAGAGCGTGTACGAAACTTTGATCTGGGAACTGTTAAACGGGAAATTCATGAGAAGCAAGTAGAAGAACTTTTCTCTTAAGATGCTTTTATGAAGAAAGCCTCAGTTGTCGTCTGACCTTAGTGACAGAAGGACATATTTCGCCATGAATGTTTCATACGCATTGCGTTTCGAGGCCGCGTTTCTCTGTACATGTCCAAAAGAATAAAAAATGTCGCTCGAAGCGGCTGCTAAAGTATGAGAACATCTAAGGTATTTGTAAATAAGTGGATGGAAGCTATTTAGAGATAAAAAAGTCAATGACCTGCCAGAATAAGGCTCTGCGCAGAAAACGAAAAAACGAGGACAAATTAATCTTACGATTGTTTACAAACACTCCTCATCTATCATCGCGTGGCGAGCAAGCGTTATTGGAAAAAGGTATAAATATATCGTGTGAGACAATACAAAGACGTATTTTTTTTTTCACTTCATTACAATAAATAATTTTAAAGTTATGCCTAACACGTTTTTATCAAACGGACTACTATCTAGTATATATTTTGTTTTGTGTTTAAACTTTTTGTATAACAATGTATTATATTTTTGGGATAAAAAAAATATCAAATTAGTTTGCTCTGTGTAAAAGAAGCAAGAAATTACATTGAAAAAAACAGTTTTGTTGAGATTACAAAAATTTGGTAATCTCAATCAAAATTTTCAGAACACTTTATTTGGTTTGATTTATCAAATTTTTGTTATCTCAACAAAACTGTTTTTTCAGTGTACATTATTTGACATGTTTATTATTTCCTCAGAGCGTCGTGGTAATCGAAATTATCGAGAAAGTCAATTTCGCGAAAAACCGCTACTACTTGTAAATTATCTTTCTCTTCTTCTTGTAACTTTCTTCTGCATTAATTGCTTTACAATTTTGTATATAATATGTTGTTTCACTTTTAAATTCTGCAGCACAAGTTTATATATCGGCAAACAGGCGCGGTTTTATTGCTGTTTTTTTAAATATTGACGAAACTTATAAAAAAAATACAGCATGCAAACGTTTTCAACTTTACGACTATTTTTACAACTATTTTTAGGCATCGAGGAGACAGTCAAATTAGTACGAGCAGCCGGCGGTATCTGTTATGGCTATGTTTGCGATTTGTGCGATCGGGAAGACATTTATAACAAGGCCAAGATCATCACAGAAAAGATTGGGAAGGTAATTAATTCTCTCTTCTACATCTATAAAAAACCAAACTTATACAAACATATGATTAAAACAAAGAACAATTAAGTGACATTGTTACACAAAATGAATGAAAATTGCATTACTTACTACTGTTACGTCCTGGCCTACGGTAACGGTCGGGCCCTTGGGGAGTGACGTAACTGACACATGACACTTTGCGTGTCTACTCCCGGCACAGTGTTATAAAAGTGCATTGTTTTGCATAAAAAATTTGTAATTTAAAAACTACGGTAAAAATAGATTATTACTAATTACTAATTGTGGTTTTAAAAAGCGGATACTTAATTGTACGCAACATGTAAACATATATGCAACATGTTTTATTTATTGGAACTAGATGGGACAATACATAATGCAGTGTGATACTTGTCATAAAAACAAGTGAAACAATAATTTTCAACGACAGTGTGCACATCGTATATGTTTCGATAAATGTCCGCCTTGAGTTTTCGAAATATGTTACAATATGCATGATTTGCTTTCAAATTAACAAACGAGAGAGATGTTAAAAAAATACTTGAGACGCTTATTTTTAATATTTATTTAATGATTATTTCAATAGAAACACACAATTGGCTCAGGCACAGTAACTCGGCTCTATTTTTATCCTATTTTTCTGCTTATGACATAAAAGTCTACGTTGCGTCACATAAAACGTTGCAATATCTTGACTCACTTATAAAATATCTTCTGAGAAACAATATTTTTGTGATTCCATCTTCGCGAGTTTACAACGCTGCCAGTTTTTGAAATTACTGTTTTAATACTTTTTTTTTTATTTTGCGAAAGTTTATGATTTTCTCAAGAGTGATTAATATTTATTTTGTATATTCTATTTAGGTGACAATTCTCATTAACAATGCAGGCATCGTTACAGGAACGAAGTTCCTAGATACTGCAGATAAACTTATCATCAGGACGATGAACGTGAACATTATGAGTCACTTTTGGGTAAGTAAAACTGATTCAAAATTTTTCTCTTTCCGCCGTACTTAAATATTGAATTTAATATTGATTCTAGTTTCTCTCGCTGCAGACAATAAATTGTAACATCTGCATAAGCGCGAGAAATCGTGTCCGATTTTTTTTTATATTAGTTGTGAAATGTAATTCTTTTATCTACTTCCCTGATAGCCAAGCATGTTTTGCAAAATCATGTAACTTAAGGCTGAGCTGAAGTTTTCAACTAGTTGCTGTGTGTATTTGCTGAAAACATGATGCATAGTCATACGTAATCGACAACACGAAGGCAAATTTGAGACATTGTGTGTCAACAGATTCAGAGCAAACGAAGAGCAACTATTGCTCATTACGTTGTCAACAAAATGACTTTTAGTCATAGAAAATTCTTTGCTTTGTCATTCGTTTTCGGCAACATAAGAGCAACAAAACGGTAACAAAACAAGACACCGATGTCTGTACTTTTGTCGTATGATTGGTAAAAACTGTTGACATTTATTTATTCTATCTTTGTAGCCCATTAAATGTCAAAAACGAATGACCGTCTTTTAGAATAAGTAGACAAAAATAATTATATTTTAGTAAGGAACAAGCGGACTCGCGGACTGAGTGCAGATTGTCACTAACTGCCTCAGCCCGGGGCAATTCAATTAGAGATGAATGTATCGTTATACTAATTGCGTTATTTTCACTTTAATGACTACGATGAAGGATTGTCAGTACCCTAAACAAAAAAGAAGGCTTATGCTTGTTTTTTAATTCAAAACATTAGATCCTAAGTAGCTTATATTGCCTTCAGGACGTAAAAAAAAAAAATCTGTCTCTAACTGCCCCACTCTCCTCTACTTTATTTTTCAGATGAAGTTATCGAGAACTTATCAGAGATGAGGAAAATTGGGCAAAAGTGAAATCAGGCCTTCAAAGATTAATTCGAGTGAAAAATCTCGAATTAATTCCCTTCTTACAGCTCAATGTGCCACTGTGTTTTTTTTTTTTTTATATATCACCGTAATATCGTGATGCATTTCGGCAGATATTTTAATGTTACTGTAATATTACATTAACATTACGGTAATATTTTGAATATTAGAATGTAATATTGCAATGGAAAAATAATATTACTGTAATATTGCAGTAATATTACGTGCTATGTATAATATATGTTTTTTTTATAAAGTATAAATGTAAAAATATTCTTATGACATAAAAATTATTTTCTAAAATGAATCTTATTATTAAAAAACAAATATGTATAAGAAACTTGCAAATAAGTGTTGCATTTTTAGTTAAAACTACAAATTATGATGTAACATGCCATGACAAATTTGTTATTTCTCTACATATTTAATTAAAATATAGAATTTGCAACTACCGTACCGTTTGAATATTTTTGCGATTGACTGTGATAATACTGGACTCTGAATACTTTTTATTTTACTCTGAAAAGAGAAGTCAAGATCTCTCCCGATGCCGGTGTGAAAAGAGGTCTCATGTGTTCTCGAGGCCACTCGTAGAATTTTCGCAACGAGACTTCGATGTCGAAATGATCGATGTAATCTGCAATAATTACGCGCGCAGTGATATTAAATTATTACTCAATCTCTCGTTACAAATTTTGGGTTTGAAAATCTAAAGTCGATGAATCCAAGTTGATTGTTGCAAGTTCGTTTCGTACTCGTAGAATTATGCGGCAAAGAATTAACAGCGAGACATTTCGTTCTATCTGCTACATGCTCTTAGTAGTGGCGTTAGTCAAGTATGTAGAAGAACCGGTTGCGCGCGCGCGTGCGTGCGTTACTGCAGTAGTGTTGCTACATAGTCATATGTCTGTCTTGCGACAGACATATTGCTTGCCAAACGCAAATTATTTCCTTTAATTTGAATTCTTGCTTAATCGACGATACAAATTTTCGGCACAGAGCGAAAGATTCCTTTTCATTTTAATAAAACTTGTCTCAGCTAATAGACTCTCTGTAGCAACAAATAGTTACGTCGTAATAATAAAATGTTCTACAAACATGTATACATGAAACAACACAGGTGCTGTTTCGGTGACGATTTCTCTCAGCGTCTTTTTGTTAATATTACTTTCATCAAGAAATTTGTCATCTCCGAGTTGCGGAAAATAGTGGAAAAAAAGAAAGAGAACATTTATTAGTCAAAACTTACTTCTATCCAAATACACATTTGTAATATTGAAAAATTGTTGTACCGATATAAAAAGTGATAGAACTCAAATACAGAGCAAACAAATAGATTCTATACAATCTTGTTCCTGTATAATTTGAATATGTATTCGGGAAAAAAGTTCTTCATATATACATATAGACAAATTCTATATTTGATTATATTCCAGTGAAGAAAAATTAGTTCAGAAAACGTTTTTATAAACGTTTTCCTTAGCACCAAAGACCGTCCGGGAACGATTCTGTGTCGAATTTTTTGAAGACTATCTCATTGGCACACGTAGTTACTTCTGGATATGTTCTGAAGAACTATCTATAGAACGTTTTCTGGACGTTTGTTTGCGACAATTGGCAAGAGTTGCGATATTAAATGTGCTGGGCCATAGTAATACTAGGCCATTAAATATTACACTGAAAAAAGTTTTGTTGAGATGACCAAAATTTGATAAATCAAATCAAATAATTTGGTTAATATGATTAACCAATCATTTGATTGTTCCAATAAAAAAAATTTGGTTCTTTTTATTTAGTTTGTATAAAAAAATTTTTCGCGATTTGCGCTCTCACACAGCTTTGGTGAGATTTCACTCAAATTAATATTTGGAGGCCCGATTCAGCTCGCCGATCAACTGATGAATTCCATTGAAAGAGACCTGACCTGAAAAAGATCCTAAAGTGATAGCGGAATTCGAACTCGAGACCTTTATATATTTCTCAGCTTCTGCACTCATTGTCAGTCCGCGAGACCGCTTGTTTCTCTACTAAAATGTTCTTATTTCTACTTATGTTTTATTGATGTATAATATATATACATTCCCTGGAGATGATTATCAAACGAACTGAAAACGAATTATCCTGAGATCATTTCAGCACCTATTTTCTTCACTGGGGTATGATTAAATACAATTATATATAACTAGATATAGAGAACTAACTAGACATAGATATAGAACATAACTAGTATATAACTAGATATAGAATTTGTCTACATATGAACTTTTTTCTCGCGTATATTGAAAAATAAAAATCTTTCTCTTAAAAAGTTATGCTATGAAGAAGAGATGTTTACTTAACAAATTCAGAGGTTCATATATTTATTTTAAATAAGTAAATCTGAGCAATCGTATAGTAAGTCTGTTTTGTCTTGTATGTATTACAAAGTAAAAGCAATAAATGCGGAGAAAATGATGAAGATAGAGAAAATATAGAAATTGCAATTAATTGCTTTTTTTGACAAGATTTTTGATCTTTCTTTTTGGGTTCCTTCATTTTCGAAATAATTTCATCTTCTATGAAATAAAGGAAGAGATTGCATTAAAAAGACAATAAATAAATGCAAAATAAAATTATTGGAATATACGTAGCGCAAAAACGGTGCAATGTCGAGTATAAAGGCAAACTACACGCTATCCGTAAAAGTGGGTCAATGATCTTCGCGAAGAAGAAAACGCACGCGCGGCAACAACGGTGGGATTTCTTGTTTCTTGATGTCACGGTCATTTCTCGATTGGATATCTTTGCCATCCACTTTCTAATGGCTTCCTTTCCATTTGTTTTAACGTGCAATAGCGATTCTATTTGCTCAAGTCATATTATATTGTTGTGCAAGCGATCTAGTCAGCTTATCACGTCACCTCGTCTTGCAAAATCGCAAAATTTTTGAAATAAAAAAAAAAAAAGATTTCAAGTTTAACATATCACACTATGTTATTTTTTTCGTTTTTGATCTGATGAAGTGCGCAATTAAAACAAACCAATTAAAAAAAATATATTTATATAATATATAAAATCGTACATGGTTCTACGATATTGAACTATCAATGATTGAACTATCAATAAGAGAGAATCCAATTCCAATTGGAATTCCAATTTCCAATTAGAATCGATATAGAATTTCCACGGAGAATCCAATATATTTTGGGAACATCTAACTGATTTCCGAATAAATCCCAAACAAATTTCTATGCGAGCACTAGCAGTCATTTATTCAGTAATTCATTATCAGTAAGTCCTCAGTAATTATCCAATAATTCTCAGTAATTTGCCAAATTATTACTGGATTATAGACTAGTAATTCATTATTCAATTTGGTTTAAGTAATTATAAGTAATAAATTTCTGTAAGAGTATTTACACCCTTTGGCGCTTGGCTTTTCTTGATCATGATATTTTTTTATTTTAAAGAAATTAAAAAAAAAATTAAAAACTTTTGGAAGTTTTAAAATTTCATATAAGAGAAATAATACCTAACAACGATTATCAAGAAATTAATCAAATTTTCTAGATAATTATGACGATGATTTGTGATTCTAGACTGTCAAGGCTTTTCTTCCGGCTATGTTGGAGAGCAATAAAGGACATATCGTGAGCGTAGCCAGTATGGCCGGACAAGTCGGGACGCCAAAATTGGTGGACTATTGCGCGTCCAAGTTTGCAGCAGTAGGATTTGATGAGGCTCTTCGAATAGAACTCGAGGTAAAAAAATCATTGCCTGATTGCAACATTATGATTGAATTATATGTTTCGTGCTCGTGTTATGTTTTAATAAGAAGATAGGAAGGAGGCAATAACGAGCTGTACACCTGATGTTCGGGTAAAATTCTTCTCTATTCCGAAGATTTAACAATTGATGCAAACGTTTCGATTTATTATGGGATCTTCTTCAGTCTATCAGTTGTCTTACGAAGGATGTTTCGCGTCTTCCTGTGTGCGGCTGACGGTTACTGAGTTGCCACTTCCTCTTTTTTTCTCGAACTAGACACTAAAGAAAATTCCATAGTAGATCGAAATGTTTGCATCAATTGTTAAATCTTCGGAATAACGAAAAATTTTACTTGAACATCAGGTGTACTGCTCGTTATTGCCTCCTCCTTATCTTCTTATTATGACTAGTTTGACCCACAAGTTGTGTCTCTTGTCTAAATCTGTCTGAACTCGTATTTTTTCCACTTTATTCTAGTACGAAGGATATAACATCAACACAACAGTCATATGTCCGTACTTCATCCGCAGCACCGGTATGTTTGACAACGTTAAGTCGAGGTAAGTAATATCTCAAAAAACTTATTTTTTCACAAAAAAAAGGTGAAATATCGTGTATACTTGGTTTATGTCTTTATTATT